AACCATTATATGTGTAAAGATGAAAATTTCACAAAATGTGTAACTAATAATCATAATTCATTTCCCAAAATTTCAGCTCGATCCGTCTGGCGGAAAAAAAGTCGATTTTACAATCTCTCTCATAATGTGGACATCTATCGACGAGTACCCGATCGACATCGGATTATCAACCTGCGGAAAATGTAAAACCGGTTGTCGCCAGTGCAAATGTGGTAAAAACGGTTTAAAATGCACGATTTATTGTCAGTGTTTGCCAGGTACATGTCAAGATCGATCAAACAAACAGGTAAGTGTCTCTGCTGCAATCTAAACCGAATATTATTCCTTCCTCTTCATCTAGATGATTCAGTTCGACCTTCATAGTGCTATAAACAGTGAAAGCGAGAACGATGATTTTCAGAAAACTCAAGAAAACGATTGCAGCGAAGAAGACGATGACCAGGACGCATTGGAACGATATGACTCTTGCAACTCGGTGAGTCTCTTCTGCTTTTACTTAATTTGCAGTTCAACTTCTTTCTCTTTAGAGCAACGTATCAGACTTCGAAGGCGATGATTATATACGCTTTTTATAAACGTTTCATTATATGTGATAAAACTACTTTTACTGTAAAGCTGTTTTTTCTGAATGATCTTCGATTTTTTGTGTAAAATGCTCCCATGAATAAAAAAATAAAGACATCAACTCACAGAAATTAAATCAGGAATGAAAGCAAGATGATTCGAATGATTGGAGACCGATAACCGCTTAAAAACCACTGAAGTAGCTTGATTTTCAACGGAGATAAGAAAGAAAAAACCAAACAACCAGCCGCGTATTTCTGGTAACTTCGCCATTAGTTTCGTGTGTCTCCTTGACAAATGGTCTCTACTTTCACAGCACTCTTCCCGTATCTGCGCGACACCTTTCGTGCGGTACTCATTTTTAACGAAAAATAAACACACCCTCCTAAAGAGCCGATAATTTAATTCTTTTCGGTCATTATTAGATCTTCTGACAAGCCAGTTTAGCAGATGTCATCCACATAGGTGCATTTGACAATGATTGGCTTTTTTCGCAGTGCAACAAATCATCAGAGCACGGACCATAACGGCCATGGTTCGGAATGAGTCATGGGTCGGGCGTTTAGTTATAACTTTTAATCGGCAGCATCAATAAAATCAAACTATATAGGAAACAACTGGTTAGGGAATACTCTCTTCCTGTCTAATTTATGAGTCTGAAACGTTTCACTCAAAAGAGAGTGCATTACTATTTCCATCGCTAGATGACTCCGAGTTATATCTGCCAACCCAAGCGATATCCACGTTATACCATTCTACTTTGCTGTATTAAAATGCAGTTGATAATGAACGGATAACCGACCTGTAATAACAATGACTCAAGCCAAACAACACCAAAAGAGTAATGAAAAGAAATAACCAAATAAACAAGACAACTAGAACCAGAAGTAGGAAAGAAAATTTTTTAAAAAAAGAAAATAAAAACAAGAAAAAAGGAGCAAATATCAATAACCGACAGATAAGTCTCAAACTCAGTGTGAAGATTACAGTACTTTCGAATCATCACCTTTTTGTATGATGTTTCTGAAGAAAAACCGGATAAAACATCGTGCAATAAAGTCAAAAAATAAAGTAAAGAATTTGATTGCTGCAGTTCTTCGAAGGTATAAAGATCAAAACGGGAGAACTATAACCAGATTCGTCAAAAAAGTGTGGAGCAGACGATAAACATTCACTCCACGTCTTGGGTATCTTACCAGACTTCTGTCAAAGCGCTATTTTTATTATTTACTATTAATCCTTAGTTTTCATGAAAATTATTTTAAATGAAGCAGAAGTATTGGTTAGTTTCTCGTTGAAGGCGAGTTCCATTTTCTACTTCTCTGAAATCTCTTCTTCACTTTTCTTTAGTCCGACTAACATTAGACCTTTCTGAGGAAAGTCAAACTAACCCTTCACTTTTATTGAAATTTTAGCGCTAATTTCATTTCTATAAAATCCGCATAATTTATAAAACAGTGGACGTTTTGGTCTATATCATTAACTTCAAATTTCTTTTCAGAGTTGATTTTGCAAGAGCAAACATTTCTCTACAAAATGAGAGATTCCGCAACTCTGTGTAATTCTTTATATACGACTTATAACAACTTTTCTAGAAGCCCTAACACCAGCTATTAACTGGTGCATGCCTAATCTGAAGGAAGATAAGCAACTTTATTTTCTATCAAGAAATCTTGCTTCTTGTATGAGGTTTCAGCTTGAGTCAAAGAACAGGAAGACTCAAAAATTTCAAGCTCGAACAAACTCTCTCTCTCCGAAGAGCTTTTTCTGGAGGCAGTGGGACACTAATTTCACCATGTTTTACCCGGCTTTCTCTTCGGGAACATGATACAATTCATTTCATAGGGGTTGACCTCAAAATAAGTACACAGGAATTCCATTCACATCTCTAAACTCTCACTTCAAATTGCTCTTTACTCTCAGTTATCATTCATCTTATTTAAATATTTGTTACGTATATAGGCGTAAAAAAATATATTTTTTGTCTTCGCACATGTTTTGTCACACGATATCCCATGTACGAGATACTTTTCTGTTTTGTGTATATACCTCTTTATAGTCTACACCAGAGTAGAAAATTTTCTTATTTAACATATATTTTGTTTTCGTTCAAATAACACGCAGACATAGCTAGTGAATATTTTTATATGACAGGTGAACCGAATCACCAGCGATATTTAAAAACACAACTATACTAGAAAAGGCTTTTTTCGTCCCTTCAATCGCTTTCACAATTTCAGATCATCTCTAAAACTGATTTTCAGCAAAAAGATATTTTACACATCAGCACATCAGGAGAAGAACATTTTGTACGGCTCAAATGTTCAGGTCATATCGACTCAAGTCACATCCGCTGCCATAAAAACTTTAGAGCTAACAATTAAGATTCAAGAAAATTACACAATATTTTTACTATTTTCCAGTAACTATGTGACTAAGTAGCAGTCGATTAAATCATGTTTTACTCGGACTTTTCTTCGAGAACATGATGTAATCAGGTCCACGGAAATAAAAGCTATGAAATAGATAATCCTCTCCATTCTTCATAAATCCTTCCTCCTCGAACTTCTCGAGTTTGAATCAAGCATATACCAATATCAACTACGTAAGTGTGCAAAGTTTCCCTCTCTTCATTTATCACAAATTTTCTGAATTTCTGATCTTCATTATTTTTGTATAGTAATGCACGAGGTTCCTTTGCTCGTTAATTCATTTTTTCTGAATATAAGGAGAAAAAGTCAGAGTTCTGCTTGCAATTCTCAAAATTCTCCATCAGAATTCAACTTTTATGCAATAAAAATATCATATTCAGAATCAGAATCAAAAACTGAGTTGTCTGATATGTATTCGTATCCTATCCGACTATTTTAATTTTTGTCAAATTTCAGCGTTCAAAAATTATCAAGATTTCACAAAAAAAATGAAAATCAAGTAAAAATTTTTAAATACATGTCGGCCGACTCAGTTTTGGTTCTAATTCCGATCGCTTCCTAAAATCGTTTTTTGAATACTGAATCCGAAAAATATAGTTTAAAAAGTGAAATAGAACTCTGAATCGAAAAACTTTGAATTTTCCGAAAATGAACGGTTTTTCGAAAACATTTTTTAATTCTTAGGTCTAAAGTTTTTTGGCAGCGGATGTGACTTGTGTCGATATGACCTGAACATTTAAGCCGTACAAAATGTTCTTCTGCTGATGTGTAAAATATCTTTTTGCTGAAAATCAGTTTTTGAGATGATGTGAAATTGAGAAAGCAACTGAGACACAAAAAATGGCTTTTCTAGTGTAGTTGTGTTTTTACATATCGCTGGTGATTCGGTTCACCTGTCATACACATGGGATATCGTGTGACAAAACATGTGCGAAGACAAAAAATATATTTTTGGTTTCAGTGAAGATACGCCTATATACGTAACAAATATTTAAATAAGATGAATGATAACTGAGAGTAAAGAGCAACATGGTGAAATTAGTGTCCCACTGCCTCCAGAAAAAGCTCTTCGGAGAGAGAGAGTTTGTTCGAGCTTGAAATTTGTGAGTCTTCCTGTTCTTTGACTCAAGCTGAAACCTCATACAAGAAGCAAGATTTCTTGATAGAAAATAAAGTTGCTTATCTTCCTTCAGATTAGGCATGCACCAGTTAATAGCTGGTGTTAGGGCTTCTAGAAAAGTTGTTATAAGTCGTATATAAAGAATTACACAGAGTTGCGGAATCTCTCATTTTGTAGAGAAATGTTTGCTCTTGCAAAATCAACTCTGAAAAGAAATTTGAAGTTAATGATATAGACCAAAACGTCCACTGTTTTATAAATTGTGCGGATTTTATAGAAATCATATTAGCGGTGACGATTTGATACATATAAAATCATCCACTATTAGGTGTATGAACCCTTTCAAAATTAAAAGTGTAAAATTACTTTATATGCTTTATAAAATCAATTTCGATTTTCTTGTTGTCTATTTTTGATTCCGCGTCCCTTTTCTAGCATTTTATTAGCTTTCGCAGAAATATTTCACTCAAAGGTTAGTTCGACTTTTCTCGCAAAGTTCTAACCTTATTCAGGCTAAACAAAAATAAAGAAAAGATTGAAGAGAAGTAGAAAATCGGACAGAGCTGGGCAAGTCGGGAGTTTTCAAGTCACAAGTCAAGCGAAGCCAAATCGAGGTCGGAAATTTTTTTCACCCGAGTCAAGTCACTCCTCGAATCTTTTTCCTCCAAGTCGGATTAAAATTAGGCAGAACATAAAATTTGCTAGCACTTTTTGGATGAGTATAGCCTCAGAAATAGGGGTGGCACTTTCCCGTTCCTTTCCTGAGTCCTTTTCCGATAAAGTGGTATCTTTTATTTCAAAAGTAAAGAGTAAAGATGTAATCCATATCTTTTCTTTCCTAAGAAAAAGTAAAGCGGCACCTTTTCTTTTCCAAAAGAAAGAAAAGCAATATCGCCCAGGTCAACTGTCATGCCACATTCGCGGAGCGATCGCGCTGTCGCTATAGCGAGCGATCGCTATGAACTCCCATCAGTCACGGCGTGATCGCTATAAAGTCACGCTTTCGCGACAAGATCTTAAGAAAGTCTTAATTTATTGAAAACTTTTTTCTAAGAGCCACGTCGCGATTTAACTATCACGGCGTGAACGCTATGTTTTCGCTATATCGCGACGCGATCGTTACTGAGTCGCGAAGTCGCGGCGGGATCTTGAAAAATTCTTATCTGGCGAGAAGAGCAGTTTTTAAGAGTCATGGCGCGACTGTTATGATCGCGAATTTTAACAGACGTACTCTGCTTAGTCGCGCC